AGGAGGTCTTGCATGTTCTTTATAATGCAGAGCACATTGTATGTTGTGTCAGACCAGTGCTCCAAATAGAACCCTCTTATGTGGGCCTGTCCTTTGGTTTTGACAAATGCAAATGAATATGCTGAGCAACTTGCTGGCTTCCCTGTGCAGAAAGCCGCCCTTTCTTCCTACATTTTGGCTGCTGCATAGAGTTACGCGTTTGCTTTCTCACGTGGTCCCTATGAGATATTCGTGGTCTACCCGCTTCCCTCTGGTTATCATAGATTCCACTATTAAACAGGGTTCCACTATTAAAATATACCACAATGTGGCCACCCAGTTGAAGCAATCCAAATGCACCAAATCCACCAAGCACTTTCCAAAACAGTCTTAAGCAAATGTGAGACCAAGCATGGCCATAAGCCTATGGCTTAAAGTTCATCCAGTCCAGGATGAAAGGTTATCTCAGGAGACGGCAGAGGATGATGAAAAAGAATTATTGTTAAGAAACCAGAATGGTTATAAGAAAATGAAGAGGTGGACTTGAATTCCCTACCTTTTAAAACCTCTGCAAGCCTGTGATATACACTAATCATAAATACTTTATCCCTCCCAAACTTACCAGCATAGCTAAGATAACGATGTCTGGACCCCAAGCAAAATATATAGCACATACACAAATCACACTCACATATGATTTCTGAGTGCATGTTCAAGAAAAGGCAAATATGTAATGGCCAAACATAGAATATAATGCCAGCTCCTGGGATGATTTTATTTTGGATGACCATACTAACCCACAAAACACAATGCCTTGGCAAAAAAAATTTTTTTCTGCATATGAAATGGCTTGTTTGGCATCCTAGAGCTTTCATCCAGTAGCTGATGGAAGCAGAAACAGACACCCACAGCTAAACACTGAATCGAACTCCTGGAATCCAGTTGCAGAGAGTGAGGAGTGATGAGCAAAGGGGTCAAGACCAGACTGGAGAAACCCACAGAAACAGTTGACCTGAACACGGGGGAGCTCATCGTCCCCAGACTGTCAGCTGGGAAACCAGCATAGGACCGAACCAGACCCTCCGAACATGCGTATCTGTTAAGAGGCCTGGGCAATCTATGGGGCCTCTGGCAGTGGATCAGTGGTTATTCCTAGTGTACGAATGGACTTTTGGAGCCCATTCCACATAGAGGGATACTCTCTCAACCTAGACACAAGGGGGAAGGCCTAGGCCCTGCTCCAAATGAGGTGACAGACTTCGAAGATTCCCTCATGGAAGTCCTCTCGGCTACCTCAGCAGTGTTGGGTATGAGTTCCATGTCATGGAGCAGGCTTTAAATCCTTCAGACACTGATTGGTTACTCCTACAAGGTTATGCCGCAGTTGCACCGGTACATCTTGCAGGCGGATCACCACTGTAAATCCAAGGTTTGTAGCTGGCGTGGTACTTATGTTTCTCCTCTGGTAGCATGCAGAGTACCTCCCAGTGCCATGAACACAGTCAGTAGGGGTGAAAGCTCTAGGTAGGCACCAGCTTGACTTCTCCATGTTGAATGAGTTATGTAGGTGTTGTCTTCAGCAATAGGGCTTTACCATCAGTTTGTGGAGAGCAACCAGAAGCCTTGGCAATAGCCTAGTTTGTTTGGGGACATCCATTGGGACCCCTTTGGTCAACAACTCAATTAGTTGTAACCCATTCCTGGCACTGGAGATTTCATTTGGTAACGAAAGATGTCTAGTTGGGCCTTTGTCTCCCCTGTTATTTGGTGATTTCATTTAGATTTCTCTCATATGTGTATATATTTTAAGAAATTTCTGCTATATTTGGTTTCCGTATAATCTCTCCAATGGCCCTTAGTTTTAGCTGTCCCTTCCTGGATTCCCTCCCTTACTGCCTTCTTCCCTTCCCTTCTGTGCCCTCCGCTTCCATTCACAGCTATCTATTCTAGTTCCCCTTCCTAGGGAGAGCTCTCCTTCCTCCATATCCCCTTACTATGTAACTAACGTCTGTGATTACATGGATTTGTAGCCTGACATTGAAGATTTAGCAGCCAACATCCTCATATAAGTGAATACATCCCATATTTATCTTTTAAGGTCTGGGTTACTTCACTAGGGATGATCTTTTTTCTAATTCAATCCATTTGCCTTCACATTTTATGATTTTACTTTTTTAAAAACAGCTGAATGATATTCCATTGCATAAAGGTACCACATTTTCTTTATTCATTCTTCCACTGATAGATACCTAGGCTGTTTCCAATTTCTGGCTATTATGAATAGAGTAGCAATGAACATGGCTGAGCAAGTGTGTCTGTTGTAGGATGTAGAGTCTTTTAGGTATATGCCCAAGAGTGAAATAGCTAGATCTTTAGGTAGGTCTATTCCCATCTTCCTGAGTAAATGCCACACTGATTTCCGTAGTGGCTATACAAATTTGCCACCCTGCCCACAGCAATGGATGAGTGTTCCCCTTAGTCCACATTCTTATCAGCATAAGCTGTCATTTGTTTTATTGATATTGGGCAACCCCCGGGGGGCAGGTGGTGGAGGATCTGATGCTGTATAGAACAGATAAAAACAGAAAGACAATCCAAAATAGAATATCTTACAAAATGTTCAGATTGTCTCCCTGTGGTTCTGTGGGAGTAATTATGAGAATCACACTTTTTAAATCAAAGGATAGAGGAGGTGATTCTTTATGTTACATATGTTTGAATATAGATTTTTAAAATGTAACTCTAATTATTTAGGTGAGTTCAAACTTAGTCCAGAAAGGTCTTTGGATTTGCACAAGACCTTGTCAGAATTAGAGCAAGAACACAATGGACATCCCAACTGTGTTTTCATTCTTCAGAGTGCTTTTTAGCTAATTTATTGGCATTTGTCTCCTTGGCACAGGCTGCTGAATCGCTTTCTAAATGGAGTGCTTTAAGCACACAGATAGGCTGCCTGCTTTCCTTATTTGACACTTCTGCATTCCATCAGCTGGTAGCTATTCTGTCCTTTCTATTCCTCCCGCTAGGTTCCAGATTTCTGGGGTACCTCTCCATCTGTGGCCACACGGGAATGCTGCTGGGGAAGAAAAGAGACATGTTCAGACGGCAGTGGAGGTACCACAGGGGCAGGAACAACGTGTTGTATAGATCCACACCTGGAAACCTATCTGCCTTCATCTCCATGCTCCATCTGAGCTCAGCTGTAGATGAGGAGAAGGCACTTGTTAGTACATCCTTACCAACTAGCATTGTACACCTAGGCAATGCTGGTACTTACACTAACAAGCACACCACTCCTGTGTTTGGAACCCCAGAGCCAAAACTACACATCCATGAAGAATGGAGGAAACAATTGTGAGGCCATGAAGATTTCTCTTTCAAGCCAGTGAGTCTCTTCGAAGACTTCTCTCAGAGTTTAGCCTCTAAATGTTGATCTTAACTCATTTAACTCCCTAGATTTTTAGAATATGAGTTCTTTGAAAATCCAACTAAATAAAGACAATAATTGCAACATAAACATTCTTCAAGACCTTTGTGTGTGCTGATCTTAAAAATGAATAAATACAGGGGCAGGGGAGGTGGCTCAGCAGTTAAGAGCACTTGTTGCTCTTACAGAGGACTCCAGTTTGGTTCCCAGTACCTAAATCTGGCAACTCAAAACTGCCTGTCAGTCCAGGTCTAAGGAATTCTGCCTCCTCAGGCACCTGCACACACACAATACATATGCATACACTCAGGTACACAAACATACACATATAATAAAAAATTAAAAACAAATAAATTACTTTTTAAAATTTTTGTTGTATGTGCATTGGTGTCAAGATCCCCTGCAACTGGAGTTATAGACAGTTGCGAGCTGGCATGTGGGTGCTGGGAATTGAACCACTGAGCCATCTCTCCAGTCCCACATTATTTTTTTTAAATAAAGGCATTTTTACCAAAAATATCCATTCTGTGTTGACTGATTTTTAAAATCCAGGTTCCAGCCATGATAAAGTAGTAGGCCTCATACTTCCTTAACATCAGGACAAAATATAGAAAGCAGTCATTGGAAGGCACTGATCAACAAGCAATTCATGGATAGGACTCTCAAGAGCAGAAATAGGTCAGCCGAGTCTTGCATTGGCTTAATGTGTTTCTGAAGTTCTTTTCCAACCTTAGCACAGAGGAAGGGAATCCAGGCAAAGAAAGCCAGTTTTACACAGTGATGAGTATGCCGTGAGGAAGGCTGGGGCCTCAGCTAGAGCCCAGGTGCAGGGAAGCTAAGAAACCCAGCTCAGAAAAATCTACAAGCTAGTCTTTACATCTAAAGGTAAATGAGGTCTTACAAATTGGTTAACACACACACACACACACACACACACACACACACGCGCACACACACACGCGCACACACACACACAGGCACATTTATGAAAGAAGCATTGATAAATAAAGATTTAAGGTTTTTCAAAATGCTAAGAAATTCTAAAAATAGCAACTACCCAGTTCAAATGAACACAAGCTTCCACCCATCCAATTGAGCTTCCTAAGTGTGCTTTTTACACACTAAGGGTGAAAGCCACTTTCTCAGAGCATGGCTATGGGTGAAAACCACTTACCCTAAAAAAAGAAAATCTTCAAGCCAAGTCATGACATAACTGAAGTGATCTATCAATCATTTAAATGCCTACCAATACAAATTCAACAGACGTTAGGGGAAATAACAATACAGAGGTTTAGCTGAGTTTAGTAAGAGATTTATAGACATAAGAAGAGGCAAGGAAAAAAGCCAAGGCAGAAAAAAAAATAAAAGCACACACAGAAAAAAAATCCATGTGTAAGGGTTAACATACAAGAACCTCAGAATAATTGTAAATATTATGATAAAGCAAATCCATGAAAATGTAGCCAAGATTGATAAAATAAGGATCATTTCAGAAGGGAATGATTTTTAGGAATGTTAAATGAACATTCTAAACCTAGAATTCAGAATTTAGAAGTCACTGGGTGGGTCTATCAGAACAAAGCAGAAGACCGGCTTAGTGAGCACACAGACAGGACAATGGAAATTACCAAATGACAGCGTGGGATAAGAAAAGAAATAACATGAACAGAGAGTTGGAGAGGCCAATGTCATGACTGAAGGATGCAGCTGCGGATGCCACTTGATAGGAAGTGTGAAGTTTCTTCTCAATGGAAAGGAGAACAAAGTGTTGAAAATATTTAAGGATATGAGACTCAGAAAAGAAAAACATGAAGGAATAATTCTGACATTCTTTTGTTAATGGGATAAAATATTCAAGTTGTTGAATTTCAACTACACACACAAGAGGAACCTAACTGGATCCACACTGTGCCCTGCCGGGATAAGCCGCTGATAACAGAGGATACAAGGAAAGGCCCTTAGAAGCAGTTTCAAAAGTACACACCTTAACCTCAAGGAAGAGCTGAGTGAGTATCAGCTGGCTTTGGCAGAGACTGTTGAAGCCAGCCAGGTCATTTCCATAGCACTGAAAGAAAAGAAATAGGATTGGGGATGCAGCTAGGTGGTTGAACACTTGTCTAGGATGGGCAAGGCCCTGGCTTTGAGCCCCAGAACAGGAAAGAAAAGGGAGTAGATGGAGAGGAAGAGAAAGGGAGGGGTAACTGGGACTGGCAACCTAAAATTCCAGATTTGTACCAGGTAAGATATCTTAATAAAGAAAAATAATATAAAGACTTTCCACAAAACAGTCAAAGCACATGAACCAAAGGAAGGCTAACTCGGTGTAAAGAAAATGTTTGAGGACATTGTTCAAGATGTAGCAAAAATAATTTCTGCAAAGAAGAGCAAGGAGAGCCTTGAAAGGGTAAATGTATGGGCCAGCAAAAGAGACTAATGAAATTTTAAAGCAATATTAATAAAGTTTTATGTGGTAAGAGATATATTTAAAAATAAAACATATATGCTATAAAGCAGCAAAAAAATAAAAAAAGAGGGATTAAAAGTACCTGCCAATTAAAAGTAACTTGGAACAATTTCAGAATGCCAGTCTCAATTGCTAAGATATCAAGTAAAACATAATTTTAAGGGAAAAACTTATAGAAGGAGGATGATGGCTGGAAATGAGAAATAAAACAGGAGTCAAGTGGAGCAAACAGAAAATAATGTGGTAGACTTCAATTCAACTGTACCAACAACGGACTTAGAAAAATTAGACACTCTAAAACACATGCCAAGACATTTCAAATTGAACATAAAATAAAAGCAGATTTATAATGTTACAGTGCACATACAGACAATACAGTTCAAAATAAGAATAGAAAAATTGCAGCAGCAAACATAAAGCTTGTTCTGTTGATATTATATAAAATGGAATTTAAAGCAAAATAAATTTATATGATAGAGACATCTCAAAATAATCAAAAGAGGTCAAACCAGGAAGAAATAATCATGCATCTTATAGCCTCAATAATACAGTTTTAGCCAGGTATGGTGCCACACACCTTTGATCATAGCATTCGATAAGCAGAGGCAGGAGGAGCTCTGTAAGTATGAGGTCAACCTGGTCTACACAATGAGTTCTAGGCCAACAAGGGATACATAGTGAGACCTTGCCTCAAAACAAACAAACCCACAGCTTCAAAACTCACGAGGCAAAAGTTGACAGAACTAAAAAGAAAGAGGCACCCACATATATAATGGAAATTTTAATAGCTTGATCTTAGTAACTTGAAAGATAAACACAGAACACCCCTACTATTAAGTTGTAAAAGTTTAGGACAAACAAGCCTGGATCAGCACACCTACAGTGTACTGAAGTGTGGTAAGTGTAGGATGAATATAATTTTCACACCCATTATTTAATAAAATAGAACATTTCTAGGCAAAGGGGGAAAAACCTATATTTCTGAAATGATGAAGGGGTTAGAAATCAGAAATTTTGTTTCTGTTACAGAAGTTAAAAAGAAGAAAAAATAACCTGAAAATAGAAAGCTAACAAGAAATTCCCCAAATATGTAAAATAAGATCCTTTCTAATTTAAATCCAATTTATAAAAGAAAAGAAAATTCCCAGGTGCTAGTAAATTGACAAATGTACTGGTTTCACAAGGCAAAAATAAATTTTAAAAAGTTTTGAGGATACTGAATATGAAAATAAATATAACTCATCAAAACTTATGCACAAGTTTAACTGTTTCTTAAAACATTAAGACACAATCCCTATCTAATAATATAGTCACTTGGTTCACTTACCAAAAACTAACAAAAAGATGTGTACACACTTTTGTACATAAACACAATAGCAGATTTGAGAGTAGTGTTTTGTTTTGTTTTCTTGATAGTGCATCTCACTAAGTAACCCAGCTGGTCTGGAACTCACTCTGTAACCCAGGCTGACCTCAAACTAATGGCAATTCTCTTGCCTCAAACCCTCGAGTGCTGATATTGTAGTCATGTGCCCTGTGTGGTTTCAGATTTGTTTTAAATGAGAAGATGGAGAGTAGATCAAAGGTTTGCAGGTGGTAATGGAAGAACAGATTGTACTATGACCAACACAAGAGGGTGTGACTCAAAATCAAATGCTATAAACTGTTCATCCAACATCAGTGAACCTCAACAATATTGTACTGAAAAGGACCAGGTAATAAAAGAGGCATGCCTTCTAGGTCAAACCTAGAAATCAACTAATCCATCACTACAGCAAGCAGATCAGTTAGAGCAGAGGGCAGAGGTATACAGAGATGCAGGTTAGGATTGGAAATATATGTGATCCTGACCAAGGCAATAGCTTTGTGTACATGTACTTGTGTGCAAGCATTCAGATACACAGTTAAGAATTCTCAGATTGTATGCTCCTAATATGCATAGCTATGATGGATTGTATCTTTATTTGCTTTCTACTGCTATAATACACACCAAGACCCAAAGCAACTTATCTTACCATTTACCTTCCACATAAAGGAAGTCAAGGCAGGAACTCAAACAAAGCCGGAACTTGGAAGCAGGAACTGATGCAGAGGCCATGGAGGGACGCTGCTTATTGGCTTGATGCCATGGTGTTCTCAGCCGGCTTTCCTATAGCAGTGTTAGACCAGAGTTGATGCAGGCAGTGGGAAAATGAAAGAAAGGGAAGACCAACCCCAACAGAAGCAGGTTGTGCTTTGTTAGAACAAGGGAGGCCAGTAGTCTCCCCATGGGAATGGAGACTAGACTAAGCACAGTGGGCTTCAGGGTTTTATAGGGCAGAAGGGGGACTTCTGGAGTGAAAAGCTCAATCTGCAGATATGTCCTCTGAAGTCTCAGGGTCTTCGTAAATAGCAGCAGAGTGTCTCATGGCATGTTGACTTTCACATCAGGAGTTTCCCAGCTCCTAGCTGCTGCAGATGCTTCTGTCATTATGTGAAATTTTTGTCAGTACCCATGTACCAAGTCAAGAGTTTCTCAGCCCACATGAGATCATTAATGCTGGACTACCTGTCCAGGAATGGTACCCTGACAGTGGTCTGGAATCTCCTCCATCCTCAATCATTTATCAAGAAAATGCTCCCACAGACATGCCAATCTGATAGAGGCATTTTCTCAACTGAAGTTCCCTCTTCCCAGATGGCTCCAATTGCTGTCAAAGTCCCAAAAACCTTAGCAGTACAGACTATAAATCTATCATATCACAATAGAGCTGCAAATTTTCTTAATAAGCTTTTGAACTTGAACTTTTCCAGTGGACTGTTAATCAATGTCATTGTAGCTATTTCTTCCTAAACCACTCTAATAGTAGACAGTATTGAGGTGCTATGTTTAGGCACAATTGTGAATATACATTGTAACCCCTAAACTCCATAGGTCAGGGGTGTAGTTTTGTTGTTGGTAGTGACATTTTGGATCAGGGCCTCACATAGCCCAAGCTGGCCTCAAACTTGCTATGCACCCAATGCTGACCTTGAATGTTTCCACCTTCAACCTCCTGGGTGCTGGGATTACAGGTGTGAGCCACTGCACCACATTTATAAGGTGCTGGGGATCAAACCCAGGGCTTGTTTCACCTTAGGAAAGTACTCTACCAACCAAGTTAAGCCCATAAACCTATTTGGTTTGGGTTTGTTAAAACAAAACAAAAAGGCAACAACAGATGATTTGTTCCTACCAGAGCAAGGTAAGAGACCCCATAAAGGCAGAAAAGATGGACCAGATATATATATATATTTATATATATATATATATATATATATATGAATTTCCCCCATAAGGTATTGTGGTTTAGGCTATATCTATACACGACCATACATTCTAAAGTTTACCAGAGGTGTTGTTTTGGAAAAACAATTTACAAGAGGTCAAACAAGTGTTGAGGGTCATTGAAATTTCAGCCTTCCCTGTAACTCACTAGCATCATGGGAGCCAACTGAGATTCTCCAAAATTGAAGTTGGTATTTAGAGCTACATTCTAGTTTAAGGTCTGCTCTAGATTTATCTCAAAAGAGCTAAAATCATGTTCAGACAAAATCTTTAGGGGACAATGTGTATGTATGTTGATTCCTACCAGTTTCCAGAATTTGGTGGATACTTTGGAAGTTCAACCTTAATAAAGTCTAAATCAAAACCCTCATGTGTCTAAGGAAGCAGCCTAATGACTTTTCAACCCAAAAGTCGATGTTCATGAAAGAAGCATAGCAGAGATTTTAAAAAATGCAATACCAATTGCCAAAGGCCCTTTTCAATAATTAAAAACCATTAGGAATGTTAAGAAATTGAAAACTGTACTCTCTAGTCAGCAGAAGTAGTAGATGAGAACCAATTTCTAAGATGATTCAGATATTGATTTAGCAGGCAATGACTATGCAGACATATGTATGTATGCATGTATATATGTCTTGAAGAGTGAACAGAGGCAGACTAGGCAAAGAAATGAAAACATTTAAAATATGAAGATTCAACTGCAGAAAATATAACAAAAGTTTTGAATCAGTTTAATGGAAAACCAGAGGTGTCAAAAGAAAGAATTGCTTAACTTTAAGATACGCCAGTAAAAACTGTCAACCTGAAAGTCAGAGACAGGAAAATTCAAAAATAAAAATGAAAATAGTCCCAGTATACCCAGGGAACTATTGAAATAGTAAGGATAGACTTGGATTTTTGCAAAGGGAAGGAAATGAAAATGGGACAAGAAACCATTGGACAAAAAACATCCGAATGCACACCATGAAACTGTTAAACATTTGCTGTGGTCTGGGTAGGAAGAATGCACCACAAACTCATGTAGTGGTCACACTGTTACCATCTGGTGGGCCTTGGAGAAATGACTGCATCCTAGCAGGTGTGACTGTATCAACGAGTTAATTCTTTTGATAGATCCAAGATATATTGAGACTATGGGATATGGTAAAAAGGGGCAGGTGGGATAACATGGAGAAGTGGGGGGCTAGAGGCATTCCCTGAAAGGGTGGACCTTGTCCTCTGCTCCTCCCTCTCCCTCACGCTGCTCCATGGCTGTCACAAGAGGAAAGGCCTTTCCTACTTGCTCCCTATTGCTGTTGCTGTCCTGCCTCAAGTCAGGCTCAAAGCCATGGGTCCAAGTTACCATGGAGCCAAAACAGATGACTCTTAAATGATTTTTCTCAGGTATTCTCCAGACTGACACACAAAACTGGTAGCAGGGTAGCAGGAACATGGATGTTGCTGTGATGGCAGAACGTGTGTTCACACCTCTGGACCTGGTTTGTAGGAGGGATCTGGGAAAGTTTGCAGACACAAGCTAGAGAAACCTTAGAGTACTCGAAGCAGAGCCTAATGGCCGACCATTGTGGGAGTCTAGAAGAATATAATGTTGCTATGGCCACATGGAGTAAAAGTTATGCTCCTGAGATTTCTAAGGGGCTCGGAAGCTTCTGGAAAAGAACTAATACACAATTTGTCTATGCCGTCATGGGCACAGATTACATGTCTGACATACATCTAACAGACTCTCAGAGTGTCAGACCAAAGCAGAGAAGCGAAGGCACTGGTGAGAATGCATGGCTTTAGAAAGGATAGAGATAAATCCCCCAACTGTCAAGGGATTGACAATGTCAGTAAAAAATTTTAGATAACACCTCTAAAATAAAGAAAAACATTTGTATCTACTACCTCCTAGCACTAAGAAAAAAAACACAGTGCCTGCCAGGGCCTTGTTGAGTTATAAAGCCAGATATTCTATACCTGGAAATATTTCCTCTGTCCATGCAACAGGCAAGATGAAAGGCTGCAAGATACCAGGGAGAGCAAAAGCAGGAAAGAGGACCACATCAAATCCAGGCTATGAGGCCAAGTGCTGTCACTTGGGTCAGACACCTTGAAGCATCTTTTGTGTTATTAGAGGTATCAGTGATGGGGAAAGATGCTTACCTGGCTGTCTTAGCTAGGGTTTACTATTAATGTGAAGAGACACCAAGACCACAGCAACTCTTCTAAAGGAAAACATTTCATCACAGTTTCAGAGGTTCAGTCCAATATGATCATGAAGGGGAGGGAGCATGGCGGCATGCGGGCAGACATGGTGCTGGAGCTGACAGTCCTACACATCTTGCAGGCAACAGAAACTGTCACACTAAAAGAAGCTGGAGAAAGAGACCTTAAAGTCCACCCCCCACAGTAACACACTTCCTCCAACAAGGCCACACCTCCTAATAGTCCCTTTCCCTTTGAGAGCCATTTTCTTCAAACCACCATACTAATATATTGATGGGGGATGTCCTTCTGTGTATACGTTTGTCTTATTGATTGATGAATAAAGCACTGTTGGCCAATAGGGAAGCAAGATAGGTGGGACTAGGACAGGTGGAGGATTCTGAGAAATGGAGGCACAGTCAGTCACCATGTAGGATGTGAGAGGAGTAAGAGGTCCGGACCCTTTCTCCGGTAAGAGAAGACCACGTGGAAATACTCAGATTAGCAGTTATGGGTTAATAATTAAGTCAGAGCTAGACAATGAAAAACCATAGCAAACGGTCAGAAGTTCAAGGTCATTTGCTACATTGGGCATTTCAGGGCAGCCTTGCATGTATAAGATCCTGTCTAGGAAGAAAGGAAGGAGGGAGGCAGAGAATCAGGAAGGAAGAAGGGAAGAAGGGAAGGAGGGAGGAAGGCAGGAAGGAAGAAGGAAGGAAGGCAGGAAGGAAGATTAACTGTTATGCTATTATATAGAGGACAACTTGACATTATGTATCAAAAGCTCTAAATATGGTCATACCCTTCAACGTAATAGAGAAATTTGTAAGGACACATTCATCTGACAAATATTTGATCACTGATGTAAGACACTGAAAAAGACAAAATCCCTCACTGAGCCAGTCTTAAGCAGTGACTAAAGATGAATATAAAGGTTTATGTACAAAGGTGTTGATTTTGTCATCCTTTGTAATAATCGAGTATCAAATACCCAACAAAATAAAAATGCTTAAATAAATGTCAGAGCACTGATATGACAAATTGGTGTTTTTAATGAATTACAGAAACCACTTAATGATAAGGATAAGTATTTCAGCTTGTAAGGTTTTTTCTTTTAAAAAAGCTGATGGTAATATAGTGTAGAGTGGAATGGACTTGTGTTATTTGTATGCAGGGAAAGCCCAGAATCGACTACCCTGAAATGTCAATCGTTATTCTGAGAGGAAGAATTGTGGGTGCATTTGATTTTCTCCTGTGTGTATCTTGCTATCAATCTGCAATTTCTAGAACAAATATGCCTTTCCATTGTTACCAGAGAAAACAGCTTTGACAGAATGACCTTGAATAGTTTACATTAGAAAGGAAATAAAGGGCACTCAAGTATAAGCACAACATTGTCTCCTAAATCTGGGGTAACAAATAGACATCTTTAAGTAAGGGGTGGCTAGTAGCCTTCGCTCTAGCGTGGGTACTTCTTGCTCCTTCCTGTCCCTCTAATGCCCGCTTTCTTTTTGCTAGAGAGGAAACGTGTGCCTTGCCAATGACTTGAATGCACCCCCTAGTCCCACACTTGTGGTTTCTAACTGAGAAAACCAAGCATGTTGTGGGAGCTGGTTAATGGCTGTCTGGACCAAGCCCCAGGCCTCCTGTCCCAGGATTCAAAGCTATTGCCACCACTGTGCCCTTTGCCTAGACCACAGTAACATCACCAGGATAACACTGTCATCAAGAACGGTCATCCAATACATTTGGAGAGTACCATCAGTGCCCTAAAAATAACTGGGCAGCCTAGAGGCTCTCTGTGTACCAACCGGCTTGAAACCCAAGTGTGCCCTGAGTTGAAAAGGCCAAGCCACATGGTGGGTTAAATGCTTGGATCCTCTCCCTGGCCTTCCAAATTTAAACAGAAATTCAAGGGCTCGCAGTCGCAGCAGAGGGAGATTGTTTGCAAGGTGAAATTAACAGTGAACTTTCTTGCACCCCTCGCTTCCATTTTAACCCTTGTGTGATCATTTTAAATGAGTGCAGTCCACTTTCCCATGCCTTTTGTGCTTGACACACAGGCAGCGCCAGGACTTCAATAGTTACACCTGCCCTTTTCAAGCCATTTAACAGCCTCGCTGAGGTGGAATGCAACATGAATAGATTTCTTGAAGACAGGGCTGTGCTGCATGGACTGGGCTTCTGACTGCCAGTTCTGTGCACAAAAACACCAGTGGGGCCCATTATATGTGAGAGTTCTCTGAGACTAAGTAAGGATCACCAGCCAGCCCAGAGAAACGGGTGTAGCTGCTTAGGGCCAGAAACCCTGTGAGCTTGTATTGGAATGCTTACAGGGACTCAAAGGAGGACAGAACATTCCCAAACAAGCTAAACAAAGGCTTACTTCAGACAACACTTTATTTTCCAAAAATGTTAAGTACCTGGCCTAAGCACCCTGCAAGTGGTCAGGTCTCTCAGGAATATATTGGCTCATACCAAACATGGGACACGGGTTATAGATCTTTAAGATGGTATTTTCGGTCAACGTTTCTTGTGTGTGTGCACATGTGCGTGTTCCAGGGTGGACGGGCATGTGCACATGGAATTGACCTCTGGCATTTAGCTCACCTTGGTTTTTCTTGTTATGTTTTCTTTTTAGGGGTGTCTCTCTGGCCTGGAACTCACACCCTGCGCTAAGCTGGCTTCCTAGTGGTCTCTACTTCTCAAATGCTGGGATGGGTTGCAAACTCACTCTACCACACTTTTTTAATGGGTTCTGGAGATAGAACTTGGATCCTCCTGGTTGCAAGGTAAGCCGACACTGACTGAGTGATCCCCGGAACCTAGCTTTTGGTAGACACTTCTTTAGTACCATAAGGTTCTGCATATGGTTTTGATGCCTGCAGTGACAGCCAAGGGAGTGTCCCTATACCCGGGTAGATTATTGTCCAGGAGAGAATGATGGTTTTCACCCTTCACAAAATGTCATTTTTTCCTTTTCAAAATTCTTTCTGGATGTGTGTAAACCTGGACTTGCTATCCATGATTACGTAAAGGAGAATTATAGGGGAAAAGGAAAAATAAATAGATAAAATGAAGTCCAACCTTTGAGTTTGGCTCTGGCCTTTAACAGGTAAAGATTTTGAACAACGTGGATGGTAATTTACTGTAAGTAATAAAATTTTATCAATCCTGCCAAGGAGTGGTAACCAAGGATTCAGGCTATCCATGTGTACTAATTTGGATATGGCAAGCTTGGAACTTATTTATAACTTTTACAGTATTTTACCACTCTTTAGTTCCAAAGAAGCACACATCATATTGCACAAGGCATGCGGATATCTGTGTCTCCTCTGCCAAGAGCAGTTGGGAAAAAGAAAACAGTCTTCATGTATTGTTATTTCAAGCCTGATTCTGTGATCGGTCACTGTATAGAAATATTTGGTATTTAATAAGCTTGAGGCTCGCATTCAGATCCATCTGATGGCCTGGGGGCACACATGGTTTGATGGCACAGGCTCATAAACCCACTGAGAGTGGATCTGGTCTTTGTAGCTATGCTTACCTTTGTGTGGCTGTGATACCAAACCCGTGGTGGGCAATGGGCAATGCTGGATGTGGCTTCTATTGATGCAGATTTAAGAAATAACTACCATTCCTCTTCACCCTCATTCTCAGCAACTCATGTCAATTGATTAGGGATGCTTTGATCATTTCTGCAATGTCAAAATGTGTGAATTCCCTGGGTATCATCTAGTTCCAAATGAAACAATTTCAGACAGAAGTGTCAAATAGTTTCTAAGGGCACATCGTTGGAGACCCCCTGGGCTTGAAGGGAGTGCTATTGCCTATGTTAATTTTATTTTGAAATAATGGCCTACAAGCCTGCCTGCCCTTTCCCTCCCCTCCCCTCCTCCCTCTCACCCCCCCGTGTGTGTGTGTGTGTGTGTGTGTGTGTGTGTGTGTGTGTGCGTGTGTGTGCTCACGCACATGCACACTCGCCAAAGGCCAGAAGTCGACCAGGACGTGCCAGCACATCTAGCTTTCCATGGTGATGCTGAGGTTTGAACTCATGTCCTAGCACTTGCATAGCAAGCATTTTACACATGAAGTTATCTCCTGAACCCTCGAAGTCAACCGTGTATTTCCTCCCTGAGACTGAGCTCTAGGATAGCCATCCTATCGTAGGGCAAGAACTTCCCCTAAGCTCTCTCCGCTGTGCCTAGTGACCACCCTCCAAAGTGCTGGCTGCACTCCCAGATACTCTCTTTCCTGAGAGTGTCACAGTTCCCTGCAGGGTGGGCTGCCTTCTTACCCATTTAGGAAGACACAAACAGCCAATGCCACAGGCCTGTGAGACTTCTTGATAGGCGCCTCCTCTCTCTCGGAAGCTTTTGCCTGAGCTTCAGTGAAGTGCTGTAATTCTTAAGTGACACCACCTAATGAATGTTAAATATTAAAAAGCATACCTCTTCTGCTTCAGGGCCTGTTTTTTTTTTTACTTTAAAAATTGTCTTTTTCATACTAGCACGGAGTCCCTTGTGAACTAGTGCTTTACTGAAGCATTGTGGAGAGGGTTTGTATCTCCACATCCGGCTTCCACCTAAAACATTCCATATAAAATACTTACATTATAAATTATTAAATTTTCAGCTGGATTAACAAGAGATAGAGTTCTTATTTTTTTTCCTTATCTCTCACTGGGGGTTCAAAGTTAGAGAACCTGATCCTCTCAGTCAACCTCCTGTGGAAATCAGTAAGATACTGAAGATTTTCTACCAGAATATTTGCTAGTGATTCTTGTTCACCTTTACAAACACCTCATTCTTCACTGTCTTGGGCTGACAGCTAAGGTGCCCTGGGAAGTAACTGGGGTATGTCTGTGAGCTTCAATCGGATTAACACACTGACCTGTTTAAAAGGAAATAAAGGTGCAGCTCAGGGGCAGTCAGTTTGGGACTGCACTAGACTCTCCAAGCAAAACCCTCTTAACAGAGACCAGGAAGTGAAAGCAGAGGGTGGATTGTTCTGTGCACATTAAATACTTTCATCAGGGCCTGTGGATGTAGCTCAGTTGGCAGAGCACTAGCCTGGCAGGTAGGAAACCCTGCATCCCTCCCCAAGCATCACAGAAACCCAGAGCAGAGCTCTGTGCCTTAATCCCAGCATTCAGGACCTGGAGGCAGGAGAATCAGAAGTTCAAAGTCATCCTTGAGATAGGCAGGAAGTTCAAGGCCAGGCTAGGATATATGAGACCCTGTCTCAAAAAAGAAAAACAGCGTTTTAATCCAAACCTCAAATATGACTGATTACAAAGCTTCTTTAATTAAAAGCCCCACTTGGTAAACGAGGTGACAACTGATTGGCTTAAATTAATAAATACATACTACATTTAACGTGTTCTGCGAATGCTTCCAGTTTTGCTGGTAGAAGTCAGTGGTTATGTAACAGGTTGGGGTTTTGTTTTGTTTGTTTGTTTGTAAGAAATCATACTTTTTACAATTATATTTGGATAAATAAATGAGGTCAATTCACTAAACGCTTTGTAATTCAAATAGAAAGAAACAGATTCTTTGCTTGGGGGGGAAAAGGTGTGAGTGGGATCGATTTATGAGACAGACATTGTACCCATCTTCCTGAATACTAAGTCAGGCAGGAAGCACAGATTTGATGATTGTGGGAGGTACAGTCCTAATTCTTGGTCCACTGAAGTGGAAGCCACAGTATGATCGACACAGACACCCTTCGCTGGCTGTGAGCCGTTAAAGCTAATGTTTTTCTCAAGCACACCCAAATGCCAGGATGTTTGCTAATTTTTTATTATTAGCCCTTTCTCTCTCTCTCTCTTCTCTCTCTCTCTCTCTCTCTCTTCTCTCTCTCTCTCTCTCTCTCTCTCTCTCTCCCTCCCTCCCTCCTCCTCTCTCCTCCCTCCTCTCCTCTCTCTCCCTCTCTCTCCTCTCCCTCTCCTCTCTCTCTCTCTCTCTCTCTCTCTCTCACACACACACACACACACACACACACACACACACACACACACACACACACACACACACATACCGGCCTCTAACTCTTGGTTCTCCCACAACACCAGCTTTTGGGGGCCGAGAAAACTTGAGGACTCTTCCCACGGTCCAGACCCCAAGAGGAGGCAGATCTCTATGGTCCCAGGTGTCTGGGAGGGAACTGGTCTCTCTATAGACCGCCCCAAGCCCCCTGAGGGACTCTGAAGTCAGTCGTGCTATCGAGGCCTAGCGCAAAGAGCTCTTGTGGTTTGCTTTGGAGAGTCCAGCGGCTCCCCTTCCAGGCGTACTGAGTGCTCTTGGGGGCCTGTCCAAGTCGCAAGGGGTCTTTGCCACTTTGACCAGTAGGAGCAGGCAACAGCAGAGCCAGGCCGCCTCCAGCCATTTCCAACTCTACCCCAGCAACAGCGCCTGAGCCCCAGCCAGGCGACCCAGCGCCGCGCCTTGTGCGGGGAGAAAAGCAGCTGTTCCCAACAGCTGGGGGGCGGCGGCGCCCGGCGCCGCAGGTGCTGTCCCGGCCAATCGCAGGCGTCCGGCCCGCCCCCTCCCCAGCCGGGCGTCGACCCCCAGGCCGCTGGGGAAGGGAGCACAGGGGTGGAGAGCTGTCCTCAGTCCGCACTGGTCTGGCAGCTCCCCCGCAGGAGGGACCGTCCCCAGCCCTAGCCTGGCCCAGCGCCGCGCCCCCAGCTGCCACCTCCGCGCCCCAGGACTCGGTGGCCCCTGAGCCTCTACCCCTCCCACCCTAGCCGTTCGATTTTTTTTTTTTTTTTGAGAAACATCTACCTCTTCTGGACTCGGAGACCACCATCTCTCTTTGCATTTATTTTATTTTGTCTTTTACTTCCACGAGGGTAGAGTGCAAAAGACTCGCGCAGTCCGCGGCCGCGGAGCTGGTCACCGGAACGATCGGGAAGGTCTGGACAGTGAGTGGACGAAGGGACAGGATCAAAGCACCCGGGCGAGTGTCGGGGGCCGTGGGCCACTCGGGAAGTAGCGCGCCCAGCGCCCACGCCGCGCCCTCGCCCCCGCGCGCGCCCTCGGCCCCCGGCGGCCGCCGCGCGCTGCGGGAGACGCGGAGCCCGAGGACCAGGCGCAGCCGCAGCCGCAGCCGCAGCCGGAGCCCAAGCCGCGGGGCCGGTGCGAAGATGCACACTACCCAGAAGGACACGACGTACACCAAGATCTTCGTGGGAGGGCTGCCCTACCACACCACCGACGCCAGCCTGCGCAAGTACTTCGAGGTCTTCGGAGACATCGAGGAGGCGGTGGTCATCACTGACCGGCAGACCGGCAAGTCCCGGGGCTACGGATTTGTAAGTTACACGAAAGGAGTACTCGGGGTGGGTAGGGGGCAACTAAGAGAGGTCCTGGCGGGGAGATAGAAGACAGGCCAGAAGGCATCAAGTGGCCTCAGACCCTCGGGGGTCAGAGGTTGGGGTGGGGGCAATGTGGGAGTTCGCGGGTCGCCAGCTCCATTAGGAGCACAGCAGAAACTTTAAGCCTGATGGGGCTTGGGGGAGCAAGGGCCTGTGCCTGCTTTGCAGGCTTCCGAGAGAGAACCTCTTTAGGGTGGTGGGAGAGCACTGGATTGAGAGTCAGATCTGGGATGTAGGGAGCTGGGAGGGAGAGAAAGAAGCCCTGCACCTTAGCATTCCGGGGTTGGAGGCTGGTTGTTATGTGTTCTGTTGCTTTGTTTAAAAAAAGAAAGGAAGAAAGAAAGAAAGAAAAAGTGGGGCGTGTGTGTGTGTGTGTGTGTGTGTGTGTGCGCGCGCGCGCACGCGCGTGTGGCTGTGAGGCCAGGCTTGGGAAGAGACACCCATGAGGTCTGGAGCTGCTGGTTCCCCTCTTGTCACACCCCTACCTTTTAAATCGCAAAGGTAGGTTCTTAGAGAGAGAGAGAGAGAGAGAGAGAGAGAGAGAGAGAGAGAGAGAGAGAGAGAGAGAGAGAGAGAGAGAGAGAGAGAGAGAGAGAGAGAGAGAGAGAGAGAGAGAGAGAGAGAGAGAGAGAGAGAGAGAGAGAGAGAGAGAGAGAGAGAGAGAGAGAGAGAGAGAGAGAGAGAGAGAGAGAGAGAGAGAGAGAGAGAGAGAGAGAGAGAGAGAGAGAGAGAGAGAGAGAGAGAGAGAGAGAGAGAGAGAGAGAGAGAGAGAGAGAGAGAGAGAGAGAGAGAGAGAGAGAGAGAGAGAGAGAGAGAGAGAGAGAGAGAGAGAGAGAGAGAGAGAGAGAGAGAGAAAAGCCTGACCCTCTGGCTGTTTGCCTAGCTGAAACAGTGCGTTAAGCTTCCTGGAGATTTAAAAGGGCAAATTCAGCTGCTCAAAGAGCTAGGATCCCTGGAGCAGGACAATCGCTATTGTCGCTGGGGAGTGTTTGCCTGTTGGGAGCAACTGGCTAGTTTGAGACCAGACTTTGTTGAAAGCTCACAGGGCCTCTGGGACCTGGGTGGGACACTGGGAAGGGGGTATATCTACAGGCGATTTCAGAATTGTGGCTTCCAAATCTCTATTAGGCCCCACATTAGCACCCTTAGGACTTTGGGTGGGGGTGGCGAGTTCCTTCCTTCCTCCTTTCTTCTTTCTGCTTGTATTTTTTTAAACAGAGGATGAAGGGTTAATGTCCCAATCCCCTCCCAAATAAAAAAGAAAAGGAAGGGAAGCAAGCTCGGTGACTTTGGTATTTTTCCTGTAGGGGTTAACTGAGGGCTTTGTGTGTATGTCTGTGTGTGTTGCTAAGGTCACCATGGCTGACCGGGCTGCTGCCGAAAGGGCCTGCAAGGATCCCAACCCCATCATTGATGGCAGGAAGGCCAACGTGAATCTGGCATACTTGGGAGCAAAACCAAGAATCATGCAGCCAGGTGAGCCATGCCCTCCCCTTCCCCTCCCAAGAGCCCACCCACTGGGGGCAATGAGCCTATTGCTACCCTCAGCCCAGAAAACACTGGCTTCCTGAAAATCTGTATTGGTGTTTGGTAAAACTTGAGCCGCGACTGGTTATTCTACCAAGGCATTAAAGAAACATGAGCATTCTGAGTGTGAAATGTATCTATGTGCAAAAATAGAACTTAGGTTCTAGATAGCTTGCATCCAGAAGTTAATTCATGAATATCCGATCTGATGATATTTATTTTTGTCCGCTTTCAGTTTTTACTGGCCACTTGTAGCTAAAAAGGCAAACTATGTGGGCATTGTCACCACCAGCCAATAAGCCTCCCTTCTTAGTGTGATCTACACTATGCTCACCTCAGGCATGGTTAGAACACATATTTTCACATACAGAATACTAGTAATCAAATACTTACACATAGGAAGTTTCACCTTTACAGGTTACAGATATTTAAAAAAATGATACTTACTTGGAGATGAGAAAAATTTGTTAAAATTCCATAGCTGTTAGTTGACAATGGGATGTGATATTTTTGTCTATGTGAAAATACGACCTGTTGTGTTATTTGCTACTGCCCTTTACATTCAATGGAAGTAACTCAGTTGAAATAGAGTGAATGTATTCAATTCCCTGGGCAAGCAACTTTCTTGACTAAATCATGTGCTTTTTCACTAAGCCTTTCCTATGGAGGTTTAAAAAGAGGTTGACATTTCCACTCAGGGGCTCGGTTGTCAGAAAGGGAATACACAGAGAAATAAATACCCATGAACACTCAAAACTGTCTTTCTCAAACACCTTTGTGTATGCACTATTCTTAAAAGAATGATAGGGAAATTAATTTTGTTAAAATTTTAATACCATAAGCTGTGAAATTTTCCAAAGCATTCCAGAATAATCCAAATTGCAAAGACTTTTCTCCTTATTCTTTATTTTTCTACTTATGGATTAGAACTATAGGAATATTTGTGAATTTAATTTTATTGTTCTTGGGTATCCCTCATGAGCAGTTTTCTCTGGTCTAAATTTTTTAAATCATTTTTTATGGCTGTTAACAAATACTTGCCTCTTTTAAGTTTTCCAATCTTAGTCTATCTAAATGTTTATTTAGGCTGAATGACAACATTTGTAAAACATACACTTTCCATATATAAAGAACATGCCCACATACAGTCTAAAATATCATAGGAGTGATTCTTCTTAAATCAGACATTATGGCTGCAGTTTCTGGGTAGGAGTAGTAAGTCTCTAACTGTGTGCAAACGGGAAATGTGTTTTTTATCATTAGGTTTTGCCTTTGGTGTTCAACAGCTTCACCCAGCCCTTATACAGAGACCTTTCGGGTAAGTCAATTCATCAAACCCTCCATAGTTTCAACATGGCCACCATTTGTTTCTCTGTCTCTTTGTTATGAGCAGACAAGGTCGACAAGTCACAGAATGTTCCGGGGTATGCATATTTATATATGCTTATTATTTTTTAATGCTGATACTATAAATATTTTTAGATGAGTCAAGTTATCTGACCAAGTATGCAGTCTCCAAACCAGCCAAATGTTGGGCTTATGATTAACCAAACCAAACCAAACCAAAAAAATACCAGGTATGACTTGTGCACAAGACATGTGTCCCATCACCATTCCTGCTGTTCAGCTTGACTCAATGTTATTTATCTCTTTCTAACCTGACAGGGCTCGTATACAGTTAAGCTAACTGATGAGAAGGATGCCATGATAAGAGGTGGACTAGTTCTCTTTGGAATTAAACTCTGTAACCAGTAGACTCAGACACACAAGCTCAGATGGTGATTAACCGTGCATGGATGTTGGTGGTGTTGTTTTTATTTTTTCACTATAGTCCATAGCCCTCCGTGTGCTTTATTTTATTGATTACAATAATGAAGTGGTGTTGATAGCTAAACTGTGTGCTTTGACTTAATTGAACAGAGCTGTAGTGAGTGTTCTTTTCCTTGGGGAAGGGGCTCTTTGCCGTTTGTTTTTGGTGGTGGTGGTGGTGAGTAGTGTTGTCTTTTGACTTTGCCATGGGGAGCAAAGGGCCTTTTTTTTCCCTCCTGCTTTTAAGCTATTAGCCTGTGACTTCCATTTAACATTTTTGTAGTGAGTGCTAAATCGTGTGATTGTTTTCTTTCTCTGTAAGAATACAGATTCACTGCTTGCATGTTGTAAGTCTCTGTTTTCCGGGGGCGGGCTTTCTTTTGCAATGTATGTCCACTTCCAGGTCTTCTGATAGAGGTTCATTGGCTCTATTCAGATTTCATTAACACTCACCAGTTTGGGCTTTTCTCCCCCACTTAATTTTGTTTGGTTTTGTTTTGAGTAGCACCGTACTAACTCCCACCTTTCAGACCTAACAGGTGAACAGCCTGCTCATGTTGTGTTGTCTCTCCCGAGGTCCCCTGTTCCCTTACATTGAACATGACACATGTGGGAGACCACTCATCTGTTTATCCTGGACCTGAGGGTCTGTTTCCGTTATCTTCCACTTGATCCAAATTCTTGTAACTCTAATTCTTTTTTGAATATCCAAAGAGATTTGAAGAATTTTATTGTTATTTAGCTTAGGACCTAAACATCTCCATGCATCACCTAGAAGGCTAGAATCTATATTCACAGATAGCTATGATGAGCATTTCCCAATATAGGCTAAACCAAAACCAAGTACTAAGCTGATTTGAAAGAAGCAAGTTATATTTTGATGAACACTTTCTTACCACCCTCTCATTACTTTTATCTATTAGTAACTTACTCTTAGAGACATTTACAACTTTTTTGTAAAAAGCTATAGTTAGGCATAGCTATGTATCAAAGCCCCTTCCAAGCCAACTTGGATATGGCCAAGAAATACAATGAGTTAGTTGTAGCATACATTCACCCTCCCTCTTTCTCTCTCCCTGCCTCTCCCTTCCTCCTTCCCTCCTTTCCCTTCCTTCTCCCTCTACTGATACTTAATTGGTATGGATTATCAGTCAAGGTGGGACTATGGAAGAAAACATACACCTATACACCTGCAGGTGTAATAGTGAACTTAGTCCTGGCCTCCCATGAGTCATTGTGAAGAGTGTAAAACCAAATCAGTTAACAGCTAGTCTTCTGTGCCTGTCACTTTGTAAAAAGAAGCTGTGCTTTCAGTTGTGGGGAACAAGAAGATGGCAAACTGCCAAGAATTATTGACTCAAGTTTAAGAAGATTCAGACTTGCAAGGAAACCCATGGATTGGGAGACTTGGACAAGCTGTGAGGAGGAGGACTTGAACTAGATGTTCAGACACTGGGTGTGTCTGAAAAGTGTGACGGGATGAGCTAGCAGGGGGGAGCCAAGAGAGAGGCTCAGTGTGTAGAGAAACTACAGTGTACCTGAGGGCAGGCTGTGGTAGTCCTTCTAGATCCTTAAGGAAAGAAAGTGATTCATAGAAGAGGAGAGCCACCAGGGTGATATGTATTATGTGGAATTCTTAAATCAAGTGTATTTTGATAGTAGCCATTTGTTTTTCATCTCTTCTGATATTAACTGCCATTATGAAGAATGGTGATTGTTACAGTGTGAATAAATTGTTTGAACTTGAGATGCACATTGAACTTGAGATTAGAAGCAGATAGCATTCCAGGTAGACCAAGTAAAGGTACTCTTTCTTTTTTGAGTGGTTCTCAGCACAGCCCTGATACCAAGTCTACCAGCAAATCACACCTGGTCATCCTAAACGCCATTTGAATGCCATGTTCTTATCTTAGGCCTGCCTGAAAGAAAGCTTGAGAATTCTTAGATTTTTTACTTGTTTGAAAGGCTAGTGAGGAGACTATTAGTTTTCTGTGGTCCTTAAATGGCCCCTGGGTTACCTAAGGTCTTTAAAGACAAAAAACGTTGACTGAAAGAACTTCTGATTTAGCACAGAGGGCAGATGTGAGGGAACTTGTGGCCTCCATGAGCATCAGCTTCTAAATGGTTTATGTTGGAAAGAAGTATTTACTCATCACAACTTTGGAAAGGAGATACCGCAGGTTTGTGAGTGGAGACTTAAGGTGTAGTTTACACCGAGTTAATCACACACAGAAGCATTCACTGAGCACCCTTTCAGTGCTTAGGCATAGGCAAGAGGTGGTGACCGGGGTACTCAGTGCATAGAACTGATAGGAAATTTACATCAACTACGCCATTTAATTTTTTGATAAGCATAGTTAGGGTTCTTTCTTGGGAACAAACAAAACAAGTGCAGGCAGGTTAATTATACACACACACACACACACACACACACACACACACACACTATCAAGGACCAGTGAGTATGTTAAGTGTGATTCCAAGATTAGTCATGGTCTGCCTCATCTTGGAGGCTGTGATGTTAAGCCACAGCCACAAAAGACGTAATGTCACTTTCTCAGTGCTAGGAAGGGCCTTAGATGGGAAAGAGACCGCAGATCAGTGGGTCTCAGGAAGTCTTCATGAAGAAGATTGGCTAGCTCTTGGAAGGAGGGTGAAGATGGGGAACTATCTCATTAAGCATCTACTGTACTAGCCACTGGAGGTCCCTCCCACCGGGAACTTCATTTCATGTACAGCAACTCTGGGCTGGAAAACATCAGCCTCTTTCACACAGGAACAATGTGAGACAGAGAAGGAATGCAGACTTGCAGAGGTTCTTGTGCACTGAGGGCTAGAGCTAGGGTGGGCGGGGCAGTAGAGACCAGGGAAGGATCGTCATCCTGGATGGAGAATGGATGGCATATGCTAAAATGGGACCTGGAGGTCTGTGGTGTGTCCAGGAAACAGTACGATGCCCTGCTGACCTGAGTCCAAAGAAAAGAAATACAGGAAAAGTGTTTTGGAGACAGATGCACAAAGGCCCCAAAATGATGAGATTTAGGAGATGGTTTGGTGTGGTGCTAGGAATTAGTGACTCTGAATGAATGAATGGATGAAATGAAGACTCAGTCACCAGTCTGCATGACAGCCTGGAAGAGCTGAGTTTGCTGTTACTTTGAAAGTCAGAGACTAGCCTGGCTTGGTGGCACATGCCTGGAATCCCAGAACTCTGGAGGTTGAGGCAGGATGATCATAAATTTGAAGTCATCCTGTGCTACATAGAGGGACCTTGTCTTTAAAAAAGAAGGAAGGACAGACATCACAAAAAGGAGCCAGGGGGACATGAAGAGAAGGCGATAAAAGGGTTTGTAACTGCTTGATGTGAGCTTTCCATAGTGAAGTAAAGGGCTGGTGGTTGGTAGCTTTCTAGTGGGAGGGGCGTCCCCAATTTACCTTACAGAGTTCTTTAGACTACTAAAAGAACCCCCAGCACACCGTTCAGATCTCTGCTGCCTTCTCCATGAACTGGGCTTCTCTGGGATCCCTTTCTCCATCATCTTTTGATGGCCCCAGGTCTTCATTTGCTTTTGAATGTCTTCTTCACCCTTGCCAGCCTTCATGGAAGGATCTGATCTTCCAGAAAAAAAAAATGACGTATGGGCTCATCAGGTGACTTCATCCAATCAGAAGCAGTCATTAACATAAATACAGAGACAGTCCTTTTATGTTTTAACACATTCTTCCTACACAACACTTTAATCTGCCTTTTTTTGTTATAATGGGATAAACTTCCTTGAACTACTCTGTTATTTGAAAATACAAACCTATCAACTGTTGCACTGTCCTCAGAACATTGGGAGAACACCAAGGGTTAATGTCTTCCTATCAGTGAGGTTCAGACTGGCTGGCCTTTGGAGCTGATAGATGTTTTACTTTGGCCTTATAAAGACATTTTATCCGCTGGAAACCCTTGTCGCATGACAGGATCAAAAATAGCCTGCTGCAGCCTCTGCTGTCCGTCACCACATGTAAACTGGCAGGAGAGGGGTTCTCTTAGCTGTGTCTGCACATTGTGGACATATCAGCTCTGGGGACAGTGTTATATACAGCCACACCTGTCACCAAGGGTGAGCCAGTCTCCTGATCTGCCACAGAGTTCACAAGGCGTGCATGACCATGTGCCTGGTTCCTGACATGCAGTCAAGAACATCTCCAAGTGTCCTCAGAAACACTTGGTGACATGGTTTCTACTGGCACTGGGAAAGAGCTATGATTACAGTAAAATTGAATGTATTTTTATCTCGGGGAGACAGAGTTCACCACCCTCTCTGATAAATTCATCTTTTCCATGGATGTTCTTAATGGGCCCTTCCAGTAGAATTCTGAAGAGACAAAGCCAAAAACAAACAAACAAACAAAAAAACCCTGTTTTTGAAAAAGCCTGAACATGCTGTTTTGTGTTGAGTTCTTTAGAATTTGAAGATGGTTATTTGTGCTTGTGCTACTAATAAGTTGGTTTTGTTGACAGCCAGATAGCATGCCTGTGTTCTATTTTTAGAAAGATGGGGGGTTGTGAGGGAGATTCTTTGAAGGAAGGCAAAAATGAGCTAGCTATTTGAGGTACCACTTTATAACAGGTCGGTGACGAATCTCAAGAGTGACAGCTGCAGCACATGGGATCTCATAAATAAAGCTCTTGTGGTAGCTTTTTTGTTGTTATTATTGTTGTTTTTCTTTCTCTCTCTTTTTTTTTTAACCAACTCTTAAGTGAGGTCCTCGGGTCTGCCCTGTACGTGAGCCAAGAATGCAGCATCTCAGACAATACTTGATTTTGTTTCATGTTCTTGGCTGTTTACAGGGTGATCTGTAACCATACAACTGAACTGTACAAAATGTTAACCAACTGGGCAGATTGAAATCAGTTTCTTCTGACTGGGAGGCTAATGTAAGAATAAGTGTCGCCTTACAGTGTGTATCTTCTAAGTCTCTATTACGTTCAGGGACATTTGGTTGTGCCTCATCACCCCCGGCCCCTTCTGTCTGCCTTGCATAGAGACAAGCAAGCTGGCTGAGCCTCAGCTGCCTGATAGTCACACAGGTTTGATTGATTGCTCTGTCCTTACGGAAAAAAATAATAAAACAAAAGAGAGCGAGAGCGTGCTGCACACCTCTTTGGGAGTCACTGCCGGGACTGTTAATGGCATTTTGGTAGCTTTCCACAACAGCCTCTGTGATCTGAGTGAGCTGCACTACTGCCGTTTGAGGAGTGCGAGTGCCGTGTTACCACACTTGTGAACTTTTAAACTCCTGGTTTGGGGATTGTTTTATTTTTATTTTATTTTGTCGCCTGCTTCTTTTGTAATTATGTTTTTTAATCAGGGTGACTGAGGTTGCCGAGAGATTAATGTGTGCTGAGTCTGCCTAGCGATTTCAAATAGGGTTGCCATGATAAAGAAGGGTTGCAGTCTGTTCTCCCATTAAGAGCCAGGCCATCTCTCCCACAGAACCATGGAAGCTCAGACAATCTTCTGAGCTCTGTATTCACAGAACGGATTTTCCCCATTTGTTAGCCTTATCTTTCTTATATGAACTCGACAAATGTTTTAGAAGCCCTCATGAAGCCCCTGTTAAGACAGTCTTCTATGCACAGCCTTGGAAAAAAAAATCATGATTCATTTTCCAAACTTGGCATATATGATACTGCATGGTTCGCAGTCGTAAGGGAAAATTCTAGCAGGGAGAATGTCATTCTGTGTTTGCTGATGAATTCTCTCGAGGGTACATCAAATGGACCACTAAGAAGTAGATATTATGGCAACCCTATGTTGATAGCAACCACTAAATTTGAGTTTGTCTCCATCTTTGAGCAAAGAGGTCCACTAGAAATGACTGTTGCCTGACTTTGTTTCTCCTTTCTTAACAGGATCCCTGCCCACTACGTCTACCCGCAGGCTTTTGTGCAGCCTGGAGTGGTTATTCCCCACGTCCAGCCCACAGCAGCTGCGGCTTCCACCACGCCATACATTGATTACACTGGAGCTGCCTACGCACAATACTCCGCGGCGGCAGCTGCAGCCGCAGCAGCAGCTGCCTATGACCAGTATCCCTATGCAGCATCCCCAGCTGCTGCAGGCTACGTGACCACTGGGGGCTACAGCTATGCTGTCCAGCAGCCAATCACCGCCGCTGCACCTGGGACGGCCGCGGCTGCGGCTGCAGCAGCTGCAGCCGCAGCAGCCTTTGGCCAGTACCAGCCTCAACAGCTGCAGACAGACAGAATGCAGTAGACCCGCCGTCTGATCAAAGTCAAAAGTGTTTCTCTTCCCCTCCCAATTTCCCAGTTTTTAGTAGCTGATGAGAACGATAATGTTGACTTAATAGCTTTAAAGGGAGAAAGCAAAGCTATTGTGAAGCGGAGGCATTACTTTTTTCATACTCTGGGTTGTGCTGAGGATGAAGAGAGGAGACTGGGAGAGCGAGAAGCAGTTTTTGAAGTCAATCCCAAAGAGCCTGAGTTACACAGAATAGCCACTAGGACCTGATGGCAGGGTTATCAATGGGACTTCACTTTTGTATTGGGATTTTTATTTTTTGCTCTTTTTATAGTATCAGGGAAGCAAACTGCCTTTTCCAAGTTAGAAAATGCTATGTGAATCTAGTTGAACCAGGGAATACGGAGTGAGCAATATGTAGCTTGCATTATGTGTAAACGTAGACTTTTAAAAACAAACGCGATAGGCAGAAGCGCTGGCTGTCCTTCCTTTGCAGTCACCGCAGCCTGCAGAACTTTATTGAGGCAGAAGGTAGCGTTTGCGCTATCTCAAAAATGGGCATCGAACAATCAGTTTCGGAGTATGGCGGCAGGTACAGTGGTAGGCAGGTACCAAAGCTATTTTCTCATCTGTCCTGTGGGCTCGTGGGATTTCGGAGCAACTGATACTGTACCAGCCGCTCCGACAATCAATGGCACACACAGTTCTGGAAATGGTCCGTCACGTGTACTTGTTGGGAGGAGCTTGTCACATACTAATCCCTCTCCGCATCTGCTGGTCAGGCTTTCACCAGCACCACTTTTTCTATTTATTGTACGGACTGGGGGTTATGAGTGAAGGCAGGCGAGGCTTGCAGATGCTCAACCCTTCGGGACTGTCTGGAGGGCCTTTATTTTCTTCCCCTGTTTCGAATAATTTTACACATTTTAGTATCTATTTCAGAGTCCTATTTAAGACTATTTATTAGTGACTACAGTACCTAAGACAGCAAGGTTCTTGACATTACAATTCTTTGATGGTTGATGGTCGTGTACTTTCTAATGTGCCTTAATAATAATCCTATTTAAGATATTTATTTTTAAGTTTTACTATGCCGCACTCTAAAGGAAGGAACTTTAGACGTGACACTGTAAAATTATGTATTCATCTCATGGCATAAGTTATTTAGTAGGTCTAGATGTAGCATATTAAATATTAACCTATTCAACTAAAGATGTTGGCTTGGATTTATTTAAATTCATATGTGCACTGTTCAAGAGGGTACTCTTACCTGAACACATTTGAGTCTATTTTAGTCTTGAGAGTTTTTTTTTTTCTTAAAACAAGCTACGTTGCTGGTTCTGTGCTTCCTTCTCTGGGTTGTTTTACCCCTGTGGATCTCATCTATCAGAAACTCATGACTTCCCTACTTTCCTTGTGTAGTGTATGTAGTTTTAAAATACTGCTTTATATTTTCCTTCTGAAAGTGCGATACTTGCAATTTTTACTCTTAAACTAAATTGAATACTATTTTACACTGTATTGGACTTTTATACTTGAAGAACTTCATACAAGGGACAACAGGTTAGCGTTTTTATGGTCTTTCTCCATTGTCACTGGATTTAAGTATTCCCGTACCAGACAGTGGTATGCAATGGAGATGTGACTCTCCTGTGCAAATTATTTATTTGTTGTGTATATCGCTTTATAACATTTCAGATCTTCTAATCTATTCACTTGTATTAAATATAATTTTTAAAAACTGTTGTTGCATTGGTTATTTCTAATTCTGCAGGAAAAAGGAACGGTTCTCTTTCTAATTAGTTTTCTCATTTTGAGAGAGGCTGTGAACTCTTGATACAACCAAGGATAACCTTAAACTTTTGACCCTCCCCTCCTGAGTGCTGGCAAAGCAGGCATGGACCACCGTGCCTAGGGCTTCTCGAACTTGGGGCAAACATTCTTACCAACTGAGCTATATTTCTAGGCCCCAGCTTTAAAACAACAGCAACAACAACAACAAACTAGTTTGATTAATCATGCCTCGTGGAAAACATTCTGTGAACATTAAAATCTCTTGGAGGTCCTATCTTTCCACCTTAAAATTACATCTCAGTAAATACCCGCCTTATGCATAACAAATAGGCCATCCCCCTAAACTGAATCCTGAAGGACCAGTCCTATCACTGAAAACTGGTGGTGGCTAGGAAGGAAGACATGGGGTGTCACCTGTCCCAGCCTGAATCAGGACAGTACTGGATTCAGATAAACTAAGGGCTGGAGCTTGCCTCCACATATTCTAGAAATGACAATGGATCCAAATGCTCTTGCTTATTTGTTTGGGGTGTTAAATTTGAACCTGGGACTCCATATAGCCTAGGCAAGTGCTCTACCACGGAATTACATACCCTTTTTAACTTCTCACAGAATCTCATGCATACCAGGCTGACCTTGAACTCGATATATAACAAAACAAATCATCTTGAAATTCTGATCTGTCTTCAACTCCTGAGTGTTGGGATTACATGTGTGCACCACCACAGTTGATGTATATGGTCCTGAAGTTTCAACCAAGCTCCAACCCCAGTCCTAGCTTCTAAGTTTCCAGACAAGGTCTCATCAAATGGCCCTGGCTAGCCTTGCACTCACTGTCTAGAGTAGCTTTAACTTGAGATCTCTCGGCTTAGCCTTCATACAGGCCTAGAGCACCAAGTCCCAAATTAGTTTTAGTAACCCCCTTTTTGATGATGTTTTTCAGATTTATTATATAGCTGATTGTAAAAGTGCCAGCCTCAAATAGTCATCAAAGTGTCGTATAGCAGCACCTCGATACAAAGCCAAAGATGGAAGGAGTAAATTCATGGAATCAACTGCTGTAATGCACTATAGTGAAAGCTAACCAAATGTAAAGTCTCCAGTGAGGATGTATTACTTTATAACAACAATGCAGTAATGCCCAGTAAGGTGTGCATTAGTAAGACAAATGAGCAAAGTATGTTAAAATACCAAGGGAGTGACTGCATTGATTATCTTAAAGAATGTATAGTACTTTCATTTTACTGTGCGTAGTTTGTGAATTCGTGGTCTTCATGTCTCCCAGATCCATGGTGTATCTTGAACTCTACTTGTTTTCAGTAGTTAGAGGCAACAGAAAAGTATACAAACAGGCCACCATGCATCCTAACCATTCTCCCATTTGGAACCATTGAAGGTTCAAACTTCAATTGCCTTTCATTTCAAAGAGAATGTAGACAGCTGTTTATCCCCAGTGGGAGGTGGAAATGTACCCTGGGGCATATCAACAATTAGACTCATTTCTAAGCTGTTAAGTGCACTAGTGACCATTTTAATTTTTCAGATTTATGAAAGGTTACTTAGTTGGTCCACAACAAGTCATCTATTGCTAATGTTTGATTTATTGATTAAAAATAGGTCAGACAGTTCCAGGGAAAGCATATTAAAAATAGCCAGACTCAGGAAAGCCAAAAGTCCACCTATTCTGGCTAGCCTGTACATTTCCTTAGAATATTTCCTGATCTATAGTAATAGAAAGATTGGCACTTTGTAATGTTAATGTGTACATTTCTAAAAAATGAAAAATTAATGTCTACTAAAAAGGAAAGAGATACCATGATGCAACATCTACACTGATCTGGCAGGCCACCGGTATTTGAGAGGACAGTATGTCTGAGCTCCAAGGTGTGGGATGAGTCCTCTACTTAGCAGAATGAGTCTCTCTGCTACGACTGGAGCTTTTCTTATCCTGCTTGGTCCCACAGTCACCTTGCCCCAAAGAAATACACAGACACTGTGTTAATTATAAAAGTGTTGGCTGATGGCTAGGACTTCTTATTGGCTAGCTCTGTTTTAACTATTAACCCATTTCTATAAATCTATGTATTTCCACGTGGTCTTGGCTTACCAGAGAATGCCTGGATCTGTTAGTCCTTTGGCAGCTACGTGGTGTCTCCTCGCGGAGCCTCTCTGCCTCTCTCCCCAGCATCTTCCTGGTCTCCTAGCCCCACCCATTTTCCTGCCTCTACTGGCCAAACTGTTTTATTCATCAACTGAAAGAGAAACATTTATGCAGAAGGACTTCCTCCATCACTCTGCTTAGTGCTGGAGTGATACCCTGGAGTTAATGATACCTGCCACACCCACTCTACCTCTTATGCCATGCTGATTGAATGGTGGAGGCTATGACTTGTCTCTTCTACAACTTGCGATGAGATTTAATTCTTTTTGTGCGATGTTCAGAGGTGAGTCAAGATGTGATTGCCAAGAGAATACGGCTCTGCCTTCACCAACAGAGTGATCCACTCGTGGATTTGTAGATTGATGGGTTAATGGTTTATCTCCAAGCAGATCTGCTATAGAGGCCAAGTTGCTTAAGTCCTTTGTGTCTCCCTTTCTCTGACTGCATGATGCTCTGCAGTGTCTTAAGGCTGCCAGCGAGAGAGCCACCATCATATGAGCCCCCTCTTTGTTAGGCCAAAACCATGAACCAAAACCAATCTCATTTCTTTATATCATATTAAATCTTTAGCATTGTGTTACTGGCAAGAGTAAATGGACTAATGTGGCGGACTAACTGATAGGAAAGTGTTTTAGAACTTTTAAGTATTGGGTGAGTGAAAATTAGACTGACAATGTAGCTTGGGTTTTGTTGTTGTTGTTGTTTTGTATTTTTTGGTTGTTGTGTTTTTGAGACAGGGTCTCAAGTAGCTTATACTGGCTGTGAACTCACTATGCAGCCAACGACAATCACGAAGTGTTGGTCCTCCGGCCTCCACCTCCTGAATGTTGGAGTTTCAGGTGTGCACAACCACATCCGGTTTTGTTCGATACTGGAGATGGAACCAGGGTTTTGTGCGTGCTAGGCAAGTGCTCTACCAACTGAGCTACATTCTCAGCCCTAATGAGGCAATATTAAAATATTAATTTGGTAACTGGCTTCAATCATCTCATTAAATGGCCTTTCTAAAGAAAACCAAAAATCCTGTCTCACGGTATTATCTTTATTTCATCCCAATCTAATAATAACCAAGTCATCAAATAGCCAAATTGTACAATAGCAGCAACTCAAAAGTAACAATAAAAGGGAAAGAGTTTACCATCTAAGGGAAGGGGGCGTAGACGTGAAGATTACAGAATACATTTCTCTCACAGAGGCTCTATATTTAGTCCCTTCTTTGCTCCTGTCAAATGTTCTTAATTCTTTTGGAGTCTTAAAAGCATTTGTTAAGATGACAGCCAAAGGCTCCGAAGGGGCAGAGGTGAAGACGAACAAAAAAATAAATAAATAAATGCTTTTTCATGCTTACTTTTGTCCTCGCCTCTCCTTCAAGAGTTCCTGACTGTTTCCATGGAGATTCCAACTTTGTTTTTGCTTAAGCACTTTGTATAAAAGAGATTCATTTGGGGGTTTGGTTCTGAGTGGGATTTTAGTTCAATAGTGATTTTTGCTTAAGTCGTTTGCATGACAAGCTCTTTAAAAGTTCTAGTATTTTTAATTGGCATAATAATTGTACATATTTATGGGGTAAATATGATGTTTTGTTGCAATTGTAAATAGTGTTATAATCGAATCAGAGTGATCTCGAAACAATTATCATTTGTTGTGGTGGGAATATTTGAGGTTCTCTTGGGCAGTTTTGAATTATGTGTCACTTGAATAGCTTAGGCTATTATTTAATATACATTATTGTTAACTCGAATTACCCCATTGTGCAATAGAACACCAGAAATCATTCCTCCTATGTAACTTTCACTATTGTCTAGCCTCTCTCAATTCTATCCTCTGGCTAACCAGTAGAGCCTTTCATAGCCATCATTCCTCCCTCTATTTCTGTAACATCAATTTAAATCTCACATGTTCTTTTATGCCTGGCCTACTTCATTTAACATCTTCCTGGTTGTTGCATATGACAGGGCCTCACTCATCAGTAAGGCTGATAGTATTTAGATAAACACATATTCATATACATGTCTCCACATCATGATTGAATTGGTTCAAATTGATGTCACATCCTGGCTGTTTTGCACAGTGCCATTATAGTCAGAAATGCAGCTGTCTCTACTGTTAAGACAGACACTCGGTTTTATATGAAGGAATGGCTTCACTAGATCATTCAGTAGTTCTCACTTTGACTTTGTGAGACGCTGCCACCCAGTTGACCACAGTGACTACTGCAATTCACATGTCCACCAACCACAGTTTATAAGACTTCTCTTTTTTCAGAGAGCTGCCTGCCTCTGCCTCCCAAGTGCTGGGATTGCAGGCCTGTGCCACCACAAGCCTTTAATCCTAGCACGTGGAAGGCAGAGGCAAGTGGATCTCTGTGAGTTCAAGCATTGCCTGGTCTTCAGGACGAGTTCCAGGACAACCAGAGCTACACAGAGAATCACTGTCTCCAAAGAAAATCAAACAAACAAAAAACAAATCTTGAACTTACAGTCTTAAGCATGCTGGGCAAACACTCTACCATCAAATATATTCCTAGCCTCCTCCTTTTGTTTCCCTTTTGATGAGAGCCATTCTTAACTGAGAGGAGGTGACATGTCATTGGAGTTCTGATTTGTATATCTTCCTGACAATTGTCGACTCTGAGTTTTTTCCATAGAACTATTGAAATTCAGTGTTTAAAAATTATGATAGTTACTAGCGCGCGTGCGCGTGTGTGTGTGTGTGTGTGTGTGTGTGTGTACAGACTCCTGTGCCATGGTTCATCTGTAGAGATCAGAGGACGGCTTTGTGGAATT